TCTAAGTAATGAAGGTATGACTATCGACAATAACGTTGCTCTAAATCCTATACTCATTCTTTCTCAATAGTCATAATTTTGCCGAAAAAAAGACTTTTGATAAATCACCAATAATTTTAGTTATCGAAGTCGTACAAACTTGTCTATTAGTCTTCGAAATTAAAGTGAAGATTTTTTCACCGATTGAAAATTGAAAGTTAATTAACTGATGTCTATTGAGAAAAGCTGACACTAGGGCTATGGGAGAATTATTGTATCATTCTCATTTCATAGTAATAACTAGGTTTAATAGGCCCATGTTTATAGGACGTAAACAGAAAGACTTTAATCTTTTCTTCTCAGCAAATTATTGCAGCCATTTTATTGGAACAGATACTTTTGTCCTTTATAGCATATTAAAATCACTCTATTCTGAAGCATTGTTCATTATCAATGTCTGAATCTCTGAGGTACTCATTTCAAAATATTTCGCTTTAGTATATTTCTTGGTATTCAAACGATTCACTTATTCTTCTAATTGTTCTTGTTCCAAATTACCCTATTACACAGCTTCTCTGAAGGGGATCAAGAGCAAACATGGCCAACTAGACAAGATATTCAACAATCTGAACATCAATTAAAAAAATGTGTACCTAAAGGGGCTTCTCATATCAAACTGCATGAATTATTTCTGAGGATGAAGGTAATCCGTCTCTCAAGCAACAAAATGTTTACTTTTTTTTTAATATTAAATCCTTTTCAATATATTAGGATTTTGATAAAGATCATCAAGAAATGATGACTGATTATGGTGATGATCTACAATCAATTAAAGTTGATCAACAAGAACATTCTGAAGATGAAGAAGAAATCGAAATAATTATGATGAAAAAACAGATTTAGAAGAAGATAAACAAACGTTTGTTTTATATATCTGATTATATTTATTTTAATTAAAATATTCAATTTAGTTTAAAAAAATTGAAAGCAGCTAAATTAGATGAATAATTTCCTGGTGGAGTTGATACACCAAAGGATGTTTCGGCTCGTGTTAGATTTCAAAAGTATTTCATGTTTTTATATTTTTTTATATTTATCTAATTTTATTGTATTGTTCTGATAAAGATATCGAGGTTAAAAAGGTTTTCAAACAACAAAATGGGATCCAAAAGAAAATTTACCAATATGATTATAGAAGAATTTATCAATTTCCTAATTTTCGTGCTATGATTAAACAAATTGAAAGTGAACAAGAATATAATCAACATAAACAAGATCGTGCTCTGGTTAAACTGTTTCTTTTTAAATATATGTATATATCTAGTTTCATCAATCACTTAATTCATCAAGAGATTTTATTGAAGAATTTTTTAAAAATTATCCTTAAAAAATGATTATGTGCATATCATATAGAAATATACCTTTGTGCTTTTTCCTATTCTTCTAGAGTTGGTTTTATGTTTAAATTTATTTTGAATAGATTTTCATAAAAAAGAAACAAATATTTAATAATGTTGACAATGAATTTGTTTTGTCATCATTGATATTTATTAATCATCGAAGTTTTATCTGAGTGTCAGATAAAGAGAGAAGAAATACGGCGTGATTGTTCTTTGCTTGACAATTCTTTATCGATTTTTCTCAGCAGAACTACGGTCGTCTCTATTTACCAAAATCTAAAATCTAACGTTGTTTATCTCTAATTAAGTGCGAATACTCGTAAAAGATAATCTATCCGATTATTTTCAATAAGATTTGTTAAAAGTAGTTGCGATCGTCTTCTCCAACTAAATTTCGAACAAGTTTAGCAGATTGATAATATTCTCGAATTAATGACTAAAATCTAAATATTCTACGATTAATAGATAATTGTAGATTTCTGAAAAAAATTGATTTTATTCTTAAATGCAAATATGTTGAATAATGTTGTTGATCAGAATTGAAAAGAAAAAAAAAGTGTTTTTGATAGTGACCTATCATCATTCGTCAACAAATAATAAATTGCTTTTTTTCTAAATGAGTTCGTTTCTGATCAAAGAACAAATTTTATGAACGTCTTATATTTCATGTTGGTTTTCGTCGTTTTTCAAGTTCACCGATTTATTCTCAACATTCAAATTGAGATAAACATAAAGTTGGTTACTAATTGATTATTATAATAATTAATAGAGATAAGAATATTTTAAATTAGTGTGAAAGATATTTTCGGCTACGACAAACTCTTTTTGCAACATGTTTTGGTTCAATAACATATCTACCTGCATCAGTTTTGGCATTTAAACAGTTTCCTGATGATATTTTATTCGATCTTTTAAATATAAAAAAACTTAATTTTTCTTTTTTTTAAATAAAGGTCGTCAAGAATTAGTAGCAACTGGTTCTCTTCTTTCATTTAATCATGATCGTATTAGGGATGTACCGAGACCGAGAACTCGGTCTCGGTCTGTCTCGATCTCGTCCTGTCTCGGTCTCGGTCTGTCTCGGTCTCGGTCTCGTTCCGTCTCGGTCTCGGTCTGTCTCGGTCTCGTTCTGTCTCGGTCTCGGTCTGTCTCGGTCTCGGTCTGTCTCGGTCTCGGTCTCGGTCTGTCTCGGTCTCGGTCTCGGTCTGTCTCGGTCTCGGTCTCGGTCTGTCTCGGTCTGCCTCAGTCTCGGCCTTGGTACCATTGAGTCTCGTCATATTACATAGTGATATAAGATTTCTTCACATAGATGAACAATTTTCGGTGTGAATAGCCTACGAGACTGAAGGAGAGTTTCATTGCGAAATGCTTTTTTCGGCTCTAACTATCAGTTTGTAAAAACCGACAGTCCAACCAAGTTTAAGATTGTGTAAGTGTCGATCAAAATTTCTTTTTTTTAGCTCTTAAACCAAGACTGTTTCGAATTTGGTCTATACTTAGACCTGATCGGTCTGTTCGATTGTACAAGAAGTTAGATTAAGCCGAGATGAACAGTTCACAATAAAACTTAGAGTTACTTTCGTAGTTTCGATGCAGAGAAAAATATTCATCCTTGCATGCAACACCTCAATTTTACTAAATGCCAAAATGTTAGTCAGAATTAAAATTAATGTACATATCACTCTTTAGCAAAGGAAAGTGTGGTACCAGCTTTAGTCGTAACGTTTGGAACTCAACGTGTATCTCAAAAAGATTTAATCATTCTCATTCTTATAAAATACAAGAGAGCAGAAAGATTTTTATGAAATCTAGTGCATTTTTATTAACAATTTTTTGTACGTTGAAGCACTGTCTCAACTCTAAGCTACAGAATCTTCTACACCTATGACCAGGCAGTACAGAGTTCATCGATAATAATTCTTATAAGAGAGAGAAATATTTCATTTTACAATTTATTATCTAAGTATCTTTGTCAAAAAAAAAAATTATCCATAAAAAAAACCAGCATGAGTACTAATTTGTTTGCTGTAAGAAAAAACACAAGTATGTAAGAAGTAATAATATAACATTAATATTATACAAGTTTTTCCTTTTATCATTTAGTTCATAAATCAGAAATTTTCTACACTTATCAAATAATACACAAGGATAAATCATATATACAATGAAAACTTATAAGAAAACGTAGAAGTTACGAAAATCACGTCGAGTCTTCTGTTGAAAACTACATGTTTTTTGTTACCTTATCCTTTAAAAAAACTAACTTACAAAGATTTTCAGGTGTCAATCGATTTCGTTCTTTTCGTTCAAGATACGAAGCTATACTAAATGTTGATTCCGATGGAACTGATGTACTTGGAACAATTAGATGCTTTCGAGCTAAAATAGATAACTAGCAAGAATGTATTTTAAAATTTATTCGATTTGCTTATATAAATAAAACTCCGTGGCACTATATTTATATAACGGTTCATTTCACCAATCTTTTTCATTACTATTTTGTTATATCATGACATCGGAAATAAGTAGAATTCATTCAAAGTTAGTAATAGAATGTATCATGGGAGGAAAAAAGTATACTAGTTCACATTCTACTCAAATAATGTTTAGCTACAATGTCTAAATTCCGACAGTTAAGTCAAAACACGAAACTGAATTATTATTGTTTGCAAAAGACCATAAAATAAAGATACACATAAGCCTGAGAAAATGAATAGAGAACATGTAGTTATTTTTTTCTAAGCATCTTAATTAATTAGATTTGTCCTTCATTCTGATTCTTAAGATATTCTTGATAGTCTCTACTAATGAACAGTCACTGTCGTATGGTCTGTAAGAACAGTCTATTACATATCTTAAGACATAACGAGTTTATCAAAAACATTTTTAGATTGGTTTGTATATATATACATATATGTAAAATCTATATATAAGCAAATATATTTCTATACATATATATAAAAAAAAGGTATACATGTGTGAAAAAGATCATTTATATATATATGCATATAAATACATAGTTTATGTTACAACAAATATATGCTTCAAAAAAAAATACATCTATGTGACCAATAATACATGTACATAAAAAATACACATCTACATATATATAAATATATGAAAAAACTATATATGTAAAAAAAAATATGTCTATAAGAACAATAGGCATCTATATATATGTATATATAATTTTATTTATAGACAAATATACGTATAATATAACTTTTCAATAATTGTCAACAAATTTATTGTGAATTTTCAGATTCGATAAGTTAGTACTATCTCTTACCTGGAATAATTTCTTGAAGTAGACGAGACATTCCTGGTTTTCTTAAATCATCAAAACTACGACCATCTTGAATAATACATTGGTAAACCAATTCATGTAATTTTTTTTTCATTTGGATATTAATTGATTTGTTGAAAATGGTACTGTTATTCGATAAAAATTTCGAGGTTTTCATACAACGATCTAAATGTCGACGAAGACCAGTTGTAGAATGGTCTTTGCATGCAATCTCACGATTGCAGCTTTTGCATTTTGCTTTACCATTTGGTAACTTTGTGGCACTATTCCATACTTCTGATTTTATTGGTAACACATTATCGTCAATTCGTGTTGTATCAGTAACTTGTTGTTGGTCAAATGTTTCTTCAGTATTCGTTGTATTAAGTGTTTTATTATTGGAATATGAAGATGACGAAGACTGATTTGTTTCCGATCCAACATTGAGTGTAAGAACTTTTTCATATAAAATGTCGTCAAGAGGTTGGCCATTGTTTGCTGGTCTACCTTTTTTAGTTTTTTTTTAGAACTATTTGTCGAAGTTCTTTTTGAATGCATTAATAACCAAACAGATTGAAAGAAAAAAAATAACTACAACAATGAATAATTGTACCCAACCACCAGCTATAGTTCGATGTTAATGAACGTTATTGAAACGAGACGAGAGACACAATATGCGATAATTCGTTATTTTTTTCTTTTCTCTAGGTAAAATTTGTTATCGACTAGCCAGTTTTTATTCTCACTATTTGTCTGGCCTGTACAACCAGATGCCCTTTTGGACGATTCATTCGTTACATATTCTCTTATTTTAATCAATATAACGATTCACATATCGATCAATTTTCTTTCTTTACAGTCAACCCTCGATTATCTCTCATAATTAAAAGATATGCATGGATAGTAAATGTATACTTATTAGATTAGTTTTTTTCTCTTGTTGTTATTACTCCTCGTTTTTCTTAAATGAAAAAGACAAAAAACAACAACAAAATGAAAAAAAAGAAAAAAAACGTTTTAGAATGTGGCTCTCTCCGTCTTATTCCACCTGATGTTTCTCTTTATCTATTCTGAAAATATTGTTGAGAAAACAAAAATAAAGATGATATTAATGTGCGACGATTTCATTATAAAAGAAGAGAGACTACTTTTTTTTAAAGAGACACCTCCTAATATATCAATCCTGAAAGCAGATGATTGATCGTACTACTGTTAGTGAATAATAAATGTCTTAAAACTCTGACCAGTAGGTGAAAGTAGCTGCAAAATATAATACTTCCTTCATTATTATTATTTTTAGTCAAAAACTTTACTCAGCCGTTTAAGAATAGTTAATAATTTTTTTCGAACAAAATCTATAAAGTAGAGACTAATTCAAGATATATTATCGTTTCAATGAAGGACACATATAACGAAGTAAGATAGGAAGATGATTCAGAACCGTTGAGAACAATGCTTTACGTTTCAAGAGATCATAACCATAATAAAAATCAACTTCTCTTTATTGTATATAATATCACAAGACGCGTACACTTCGATATATTAAGTTTTTTGAATCAAAAACAAATTTTCAAAAAGTTGAAGATCAAAGCTTAATGAGACCATGGATTTACTGATATTGAAATTTCATTGATACAAACAAGGGTTTTTCGTTTTCAAAAACTTTCAAGACTCTACAAGTCGTTTATTGCTAATTGATCACCTTACCTTTATCTAGCTCTACGTACTGAGGGAAAGTTCGATCAGGAAAGAAAGAGACCAAATTCAAGCCAATCCTACTTGAAAACTTCAATATTTCCGTCACATCTGAATAAAATGTAGTTTTCTCCTTTCGGAATCCAACCGTGCCTATGTAGGGATAGCTACATGAAAGCAAACGAATTAGTTAACAATAAATTTCTTATAGTCTTGGAGATTCTTGCAAATGAAAACTTCTCATATATATCAATGAATCTGTACCCTCGGTATATTTCTAATCAGAAACATGACCGAGACCGAGAGTCTCGTCCAAGACTACCGAGACCGAGACTCAGCGAGACCGAGATTGACCGAGACCGAGACAGACCGAGACCGAGACTGACCGAGACCGAGACTGACCGAGACCGAGACTAACCGAGACCGAGACTGACCGAGACCGAGACGGCTCGCGCCGAGAGTCTCGGCTCAATCTCGGTCTCGGTACATCCCTAGATATACTTGAAGATTCTATTTAAAATTTAATTTAATACAAATATTCTTTAATATATATAAGACATAATTTATAATCAATGTTATTCTATCTAATAACAATCTTTTATTCAATTATTAAATATATACTTAATCACATTATTAATAAACAATTGAGAAGAATAAAAG